TAAGCAAGTTTTATTTTGTCGATGATCTGTGGTAGTTATAAACTACACAATATGCATTCATCATATTTCGTGCTGTTCAACTATTTTATCATCTATGGTCTCAGTCATCAAAATGTATAATCGTGCAGTGGAATTGGATGGTTGTTACGTAATTACACTCCGTTCAAACACTCCAACTCCGTCCCCATGCGCTTCAACAAAGACGCTTATTTGTTTTAGTACCGTCAGTTGAACCGAACCGTTGTGTATACGCGTGTGGTCGCAAAACCCCGCCCCATGTGCATGTGACGCTCACGCAACATCTCGTCCGTCCCACAAAATGGATGGTCGGACACAAACAAATGTGCTTGCCATGAGTGTATGCATCAAACCAGCATTGTAACGGAAAATACGTGGACGGAGACACTAACGGAAGCTGATGATGCAACGAAATGGCGTATTCCACTTTTCAGGTTGGCTACAAATGCACATTGAGTACAATGCCACCAGAACCTGTCCTGAGCATAAGCAGCTTAGCACACGGAAATTGTAGTTAGAAGGTAGAAACTTGTGTGCTTGAGTGACGAGTGGTGTTATCAAGTCGGTTGCACTTTGGCTTTTGTAAACAGCTTGTTTTTATGAGGTATGCACCCACGATATTCAGCAGTCAGATCAATATGTGGGGGGAGGGCGAGTGGAAATCACTCGTCACAAAACCATCTTTTTCACAGAATCAAAACACTAAATTTTGAGACTTTGGAAGCATTTACCGTCCAGTCACTAAAATGCGCATAAAGATTAATGCAACAACCTATAACAAAATTTCCCGCCAACGAAAATAAAATTTAAAACATAATTCAACATAAATAATGTTTTGGCCGGAGTATTTATGTTTTGGCAGCTTTTCGTATCCTCCATTCTTAATATAAGTAAACCTGACCACTGCAATTTGAAGTAGTAAATGAAGTACGGTAGTAACTACATAATTCACGCACTGGCATTACTGGTGTAAACGGCCGGAATATTCACAAAAGTTCAGTCTATGGATTCACACCTTCTTGTGTAAATATTATGGACAGAATATAATTAATTGTAGGTATCACTTCATTCCCCTTCTATTCGATTTCAGCAGCGCGAATTTAGCGTCTCTTAATCTACTGCGCAACCATGTTTCAGTGAGGCCGATGCCACCACACTGCTTCGCAATTTGGCGGCCGGCTAATTGGAATGGATTTAAGCACGTATAAATTTATGATAGTTTCTCGTTCCGTAGGAGCCCAGATAGTGCCAAAGAAGTCAGTTTGGGAGAACGCGAAACGATGGGATATCGGCAATTACTTATCTTTTTGGTGGAGTTAACATACATCTTCTACAGCTGCATTTGTTCTAGGTACGTCCGCTTCCTTTTCAAAATGGTTTGCGGAATTTTGTGAACGGGTTTAAAATAAAGCGCCAATTTAATCTTCCGTAGGTTTGCATTTCCAGCTGGGATCATAAATTGTCTGTGTAAACCCTTAGCAAATTTTGACCGAAGTCCCGATAGAAGGATTTTCCAAAGTCTTCGCCAAAGTTCTGACAAACATTTTGCGGTATTTTCTGCATCAACAAGTAGTTTTAGGTATTTGGCTGCACGCGCTATAGCTTGTTTTATAATGTGATTTATTGTCCTTCAAGGTTGTCCAAGGAAAGTGCTTCGTGTGCATAATGTATACCAGGTAGGTACCAGTGAATTAAGATGCCAAGTAACAGTTCTCAGGTGAAAGCAACAGGCAAGTCAAAAATATAGAAAATGTACAAGCAAGGTCGATGCTACACCTGGATCACATTAATAGAAAGAACAATTGCAGTTGAATTATTACATTCATCAGCTAATTGTTTTAAAGAAGCTGAGTTTACTTCAAATTTCTGATTCAATTTCCCAATTTGTTCAAACAGATAGTCCTTCAATAATTGATATTCAAAGTTCCATCTCATCAATTGACATGAGTGATACGGGAAAAGTGAGTTTGCAGATTTGCTCCACGATGCGCATTCAAATGTGTAACGCAGAAGTGTGTTTCAATGAAGGTTTGACTTTTGCTGCAGTTCAGTTCGTTACCTACGGAGCTACTTGACGCTTTTCTTCATCTGCAAGTCATGAGGCTTAACGGCGAAAGTGATACCACCACATATCCGCCGAAAACTTTATGAAGGTTTGCTGCTGTATTACGGCCATGGTTGCCTATGATCGCATCATTCCTCTACAGTTGCAGCTTAAAATACATGTTAATCAAAACATTCAGTTCCTTTTGCTAGAAAGCATATATCTAATATTTTGTTAAGTGCAGCAAAATAACCTTCCTTTCCAATACTATTTCTAAGGAATCTATTGAAAAAAGTAGAATAATTCTGCGACACTCCTATCCTCCACATATACCACCAGTTGCTCACTTTCAGTTGCAGTATTGAGACACAAGTCGGTACCTTTAACAGCTGCATAAGATATATATATATATATATATATATATATATATATACACCACATGCTGAGGCTTATGTTGCAATCTTGATGCTTCTTCACAACATATCCTTAAATAAAAATTTCAAGATGGATACATTTCATTCCAATCCTTTGATTTGTTCTGCTTAACCATATTATGTGCTGTCGAATTGCACAGTTTGTTTACGCTAATTTTAGTTAAGTTAGTTAACTTTACTTTGTCTATAGCGTTTATTGAGTAAATGGTGGACAATTTGTACCCAACGGAGATGCGTTGCTAATCAACATACTCATTTTGTTAAATTAGCGAATACTGATATTGGCTAGCCTTATACTTTAACATATATAATTTATTTTCATATCGTCATTTCAAGTTATAAGTATTTGCTTTGTATCAACGGTGTGGCTATGCTTGATGTACATGTTGACAAGGTGCCAACCTGTCTATTACTCACCACATCTTCCCTACTTGCGCAAGGATACAGTTGGTCTTTGCTGGAAGGATCCTGGTGCACGGTCCTTTTGGCCTTATGTGCGCTTGATTCCCCAAATGCAGCGTGCGTTTGTTCGCCTGTCAATGAGTGTGGGCCGGCTGCGTTGATGAATAGTGGCTCTCGTTCACATGTCTCCTGGTCTAATTTCTTCAGATTTACACTGGATATTGGGTGGGTGGTTGGAGCTGTGTTTGGTGCAGCGCAAGCTGCCCGTGGTCCATCTTTGGCGCAAGCTCCTCTAGCTGCCGGCAGTGGCGGCAAATCTAAAATCGGATGCCAACCATGTTTGACCCATCATGCTGCGGATGTTGCATTCATGCTGCTTCTTAAACGCAGTTGGGCTAAACAGACACATTTAAAGTAGGTCTTTCTAAGATAGATAAATTTCATTCCACCTTAATTGGTTTGTTCCGCGAAAATGAATACTCTTTTTTAATTGCACACGTTGCTTACTTTACTGAGACTGAACCTGAGAGACGATATTTAAGAGCAAATAGAAAATTTCTGTACGACTTTATCGAATTACGAAAAATCAAAAACATTGAGTTGTAAATCATCAGTAGTTGTGTCTGATCCGTTAATCGTTTATCCTTGTTCGTTCTCCTTGTGGTTACCTTCGTGGGCGCAGAGGTCCTGTGGCTGGCTATGGTGCCAGGCAAATCCGAAACCGGATTCTGTCAGCCTAATATATATATATATATATAACTATGTATATATAACTATTTATATATGTCCAGACTTTTACAGAAGTTATGCTCTTAATTGTATGCCCGAAAAAATTTATCTAAGCAGACATGTGGTTATGTTTTGTCGCGTTTATCAGAGTATGTAATGTGTATACATTTGCTTTATTTATGTTTAGTGATGGGGATCACGATATCATATAGAGAAATACAAGCGCCACTCTGATCTCTTTTAAAACATAGCTTCCATACTCATCATTTTCCAGGCAATCCTCATAGCTGGTACCATTATTACTGAGATGAGAACAACAGCTCAATGTCTACATAATATATTTGGCTTATCTTTACTCTTCAACATTCTTTACTATCACATCTCAACCCCACCCCTCACTCATATCTTTACACCTAAATCCATTCAAGTAAATACACAATACTACTTCACAACACATCACTTCACTCTTTATAATTGATCATATCCATCTTTATTATTGAATCAACCATCTTTAATTTCTAAACATCCATCTTTATTATTATTTTTGTACCACCCTTTATACTCTCCCCTTACATCATTACTTATCCCCTCACTATTTAAACTCCTTTACACTAAACAAAAATATCATTTATCCTAACTAATCAACTAACCAATTCTTATATACACAATAATCCTAACTCATTTATTTCTTACATACATTACCACACTACAAACATCATTTCTAATCCACTATATATCTCATTAATCCATCATATTTATTCTCCTCCTAACTTCACTAATAACCACATAACCTTATACCCACTATACTTCATAAATAAAATACATTTACACCCCACCACTTTTTTATTAAATTTCCTCTCATCATCACTTCATTAAAACTACAATACAATTTTTTTTTATGATCATTCATACTATAAACCCCAACATTCATATATTCATACATATATTCATAAATGCCCACATTCAATACTCAATTACCCCCTACAACAAAACCCCACCACAAAAACCCCCCCCCCCAAAACCCCATAAAACACACCTACACACCCTAACTCCAATATCCTCTAACCCCCTTCCTCTACAAACACAACAATAAAACCATCCCAACATTCTTCAAAACATAACCCCCCCAACACAACCACACCAATTCCCCCCCCTACCCCCCTCCCCTCCCCCCCAACCCTATCTTTTTTTTTTTTCCCTCCCGATAATTATTTCGCCCCCCCTCCCTCCCCAACCCCACCCACCCCCCCCCCCCCCAACTCCCCCCCCCCTATAACCCCCAACAACTTTAACAATACAACTAATCACTCATCATCACTATCCATAGAGTATAATCCTTGATCTTATAAAATCACTACCAACAAACATCTCCCTTAACTAATATCTACCCCCCACCCCCCCCCCCCCCCCCCCCCCCCTTCTTCCCCCCCCCCCCCCCCCCCCCCCAAAATTAATACACCCACCCCCCCTCTGATTAGTTTTTGACCCCCCCCCCCCCCCCCCCCCCCCCTCCCTCCACTCTCGTCCCTAAGATTACCCCCCATAACCAACCACACACACACCCACACCTACAAAATTGCAACATATCTTAAAGTGGGTCATAGTCGCCGCCTCCCCCTCACCCCCCCCCCCCCCCAATCGCTTTTGTTTCAACCGTGATGTGTGATGTAGATAGAAGTTAACGTATGTGTAATCGCGTATTTGTATGCGGGAGTCCTTCAAAACGAGTACACACATTTTGCAGTCGACGATGGTTGATGTTACGGACTCCTGCGAACCTGCATTTTAGTCGGAGGCGCTGGTTAGTGAATGATCGTAATTTATTCCGGCCGAGGCTATTGAACGCATTTCTGCTCGACATTTTGTACCTAATTAATTAAGGTCCACCTCGGCCATTCTTAACTTTATTGTATGTCCGTCGGCAACTATTGGTGTGCAGGTTTGATCCCATGCGGGCTTATTTTGTTTTGATCGGCAACCTGGCAGTAACCTGTGTCCGGAACGTAAATCCAACCGTTTTCGTCCAAGCGTGTCATTCTGTCTTTGAGTTTTGGATTTCCTGCCAGCGTTTGGTGATTTATCTGATGATTGGAAGCTAATGTTTCCAGAAGTACTTTCGATCCAACTATCAGGCTCTCTTATATATGATAAAGCACCGTTGTGTTAAATAAAAATACGGGTCGAAATTCGCGTAGTACTTAACTGTGGTAAACGTTTTGAAAGATCAATACTTATTTTGGCCAGGCGCTTCGGTAGGTCTCACCTGATTGCCCTGACTCACAGTATTGCTCTAACTGATGGACCAAATATAAATCCCAATAATTTCGCAGCTCTCTTATTGTTTGGCTGCGAAGGTGAGTTTATG